AAGAAACAGTTTCAAATATGCTCCCTGACTTTGGTGTGTCCTGTGTACTGCTGGCATCCAATTTAACGCTGCTGACCCCTGTCTTAAATGAGGCTCCTGACAGTGCCAGATCCAGGTCTCCCTCTCCCTGTTTCCTGATCTGTAACAGACATATGTTTTTGCAAGCATCTCCCTCAGCACTGAAAAGTGGGGTTTGCTCAGCGTAACACAATCAGAAACTGTCCCCAACTTTCAGGTCTCTGTGTTGGCAAGCAGGTCCCTCATTGCTGAAAAATGGGGTGCACTCAGCTGTATACAGTCAGAAATGCTCCCCAACTTTTGGGTGTCATGTGTACCCCAAACTCTCAATTTGCCCCTGGGCAAAGCATGCCTTCATGGCTTCTCACCCAAACACTAAATTCATGCTCCAGTGGCTAATGTGTGTGTCACTTCCCATCCCCCTGTGGTTTTGGATGCCATGGGACACCCCTCATGGCTGAAAACGCCCTCCCCACCCCCCACAAACCAAAGCATTGATTGAAAACACAGAAACTTACAAGAATAAAACTTTACTTCCTTTATAAATAAATAACATAAGAAAAATACCCATTCCCCTGCCCACCCCACTATTACAAATGTCCCCTTAGTGTCATCTTCTCTTATGTCTTGAAAACAACAACAGCAGGGGGCCCTGGTTGACAAGCACCTCATGTGATGCAGTGAAAGAAAGAGGACTTTGTCCCATACTCCCAAACTCTTTACTCCCCTCCCCTTACAGAAGTGGTCTGTATGGATGCATCTGTGGTCAAGCGATGCACAGCTGGGTAATTATCAGCGAGAGAGAGCATTTAGCCTGAATTATCTACACCTACACTAAGCAATTCTTTCACTGTCTCCCCTATTACCATATCCCCAAGGCCCCTGCAACAGAAAACTTAACAACAGCTCAGCTTCTGCCTCTGGCTTGTACTCATGTCCATGCTGCTGTTGGTGAAGGGACTGCGGGGGTGGGGGAGCAAACACCCTGCCCCTAAAATGCCCCCTGTGAACACCTGGTTGTGGTACCAAAATTTGCAACACTTCTGCACCATGTCTGCTCTCCTAGCACTGCACAGCTTGGGGGGGAGACATGGAGATGTCTCCCTCCCACTACCTTCTTTTTACCATCATATCCCTTAGAATTAAAAAAAGGATGGACACTCAGCAACACAATTATTCCCCTGAATCCCAACCTGAAGATCCAGTGGGTACACGCTGGTTACTGATGTCTTAATGCCCCCCCCCCCATTGCTGAGAAATGGGGTGTGCTCACTCAGCATTACAGAATGGGAAATGGTCCCCAACTTTTGGGTCCCATGTGTGCCCCAAAGTGTGCCAACCAGCACCTGTGTTTGCAATCTGGTCCCCCCATCACTCAACAATGGGGTGTGCTCATTGGTACACATTCCCACTTGGTACTCGACCTTCAGGTCTGCAGGGTCTCCCAAAGTGTGCAGCTGCCTGGAGGTGAAGCAAGCCTATAAGGCTCCTGTACATGCCGAACCATACAGCAGCCCAGTACCCTTTCTTTCCATGCAGGTCCCCCCTCATTGACAAATGGGGTTTACTCACATTCACACTCAGTACCCCACTTTCAGGTACCCAGAGCCCCTCAAAGTGTACAGGTGAAGCCAGGCAAGGCACACTTTAACAGCTCCCCTTGACCCTGCTGAACCTTGCCGTCCCTCTCACTGTTTCCTCATCTATCCTTGCCAGGCATCCAAAATTGTTACTCCCCTATCCCCCATGTCTGGTCCTTTACACTACAAGGAAGGGATAGGGGGTTGAATAAGAGGTCACCTCAAGATCTATAAATTGTGACCACAGCACACTTTGGGGCATACCCATTGAAACAACCCAACATGTCTGAGGAGCGTGAAAGAACTTAGTAGACATCACCACGTAGGGCATGGACCTTTCCTGAAGTGAAGGTCCTCATTCATGCTTTGGGGTGCTCAGAGGTCATCGACAGTTCATGATCAGCCTGAGGGCCAACTGGCACATTTACATTGATGTTGCATGTAGAGTATCAGAGTGTGGTCACAACAGGAGCATGGAACAGTGCCAGGACAAGGCAAAGATGCTGCAGGCAAAGTTCTGTAAGGATGTTGCCAAGGCACAGTGCCTGGACACCCCCAATCATCATGTGCTTCATTACCAATCTCTAAAGCCACTTATGGAGGTACTGGATCGATGTGAAATGCAACTCACTGAGACCACCAGGGTGTCCTCTCCTGCGGCCAGTTTGACTGCAGCCAGCTCTCCCACCACACCTGCCACTCATGCTCCTGTCAGTGACTCCAGTTCAGATGACAGCAGGCGGGATGGGGGCATGTCACACGCCAGTTCTGAACAGCAGAAGGAGAGACCAGGGACCTCCACCTCCACACAAGGTATGCAAAAGCCCTGGCCAGTGTTCAGTAAACTGTCAGCTACTTTGAAAGCTGATTATAGTTGGCTGTGAGCTTTTGGGGCAGGGGTTTGTTTTTTTTAACTTCCCCAAGTTATGCCTATGTAGCCAACTTCTTTACAGATAATAATGGACCACTCCCCCACCCTCACCAGGCACAAAGTCTCGTGTGTTTTTTGTAAAACTTCTTGGTTTATAGACTGCAGCATTTGCACAGTGTGTCATTTGTGCAGTGCAAACCATACTTAAATTTGTCTGTTAATCAGATTTGTGTTAAATTTTTTTTCTTTTGTTCCTTTCCTGTTCTGATTACAACCCCTGACCGAGAACTATTAGGTGGATAAGCCAGGAATCTGATATGGGAACAGACAGGCTGGTGAGAAGCCTTAACGAATGTGCATACTGGATCAAAGAACTGGTCAGACAGGTTCAACAGTTTATGGGCAGTGTTATGGGGATCATTTGTGAAAGCAGCCACACAGCCACAAGGAAACATACAGAAAATAATGATGACTGCCAGGGGCTCTCAGGTGTACTGCTCACTGTCCTGGTGCTGCTGGTCATTGGAACTAGGACATCTGGCCCTGTTGCACCTTCTCATGCCAGTCCACTGCCACGGATCTCCTGTATTCAACCACTCACAGTGGTGAGCTCTCAATCAAGCTCTGATTAGAGACTGCCTTGCTGTTTCTAAAAGTTCTTTAATCAAGTTCTTAGATTCATTTTTTATTGCACAAATTTGGTTAATCTATTTTATATTGTAGTAATTGCTTAAAAATAGCCTAATACCATTAAGAATATTGACTCATACTTAGTTGTATTCCTGTTCTGTTCTCAGTTTATATTACTGTTTCATGTTAGTAAAGTTTGTCTTTCATGGATTTCTAACTTCAAGGGTGCAGTCCTTGTTTAGATAAGAGTTGATGTGCATTTTGGTAGGGCTAGGGTAGCATTCTGATCTGTAGTCATATAATTTTATAATGTCTGGGTGTTGAATGACACTTTATGTCTTTGAACCTCAGTTGTGGTTGTTGTCCTGTGAAAAGATATCAGGTGACTTTCAGTCACTTGTAATGGCATTTGGTCAGTGAATGAGACACAATCACAAATGATACCACTGAGTGTCCTTTGAAGCCAAATATAGATATGGATCCAGTCCTTGGTGTGTGCCTGATCTAGTGAAGCTATGGGTATTGCAAGGCATCCCTGATACAGCAGTACCCCAAGACCCTTCTGCCTCACCCCCATGTCCAGATGTTGAGTATGAACAGAGGGGTTTTGTGCTGGTTTGCAACATTGCACAGACAAGATGCTTCATAACAGGGGCCGCAGCTGTTCCCAACCTCAGATCAATGCAAAGCCCCCACCAAACACACACACACCCTGTGACATAAGCTCGATCAGCGTCTTCCCTGGGATGAAACATGAAAGAAGTAACGCTAATCACAGCTGATAACTGAGGCTGATAACTGATGAGAAAGCAATCCCTCTCCGCCCCACCCCCAAACACCCACTTCACATTGTTAGTTTTCATTTAGCTTACCCATGTAAGATACATGCATTCACTATATACTTCTACTAACTGATAAAGACCTATCATCCCTCACTTCCCCCCTCCCCTTCACCTACACCAAAAAGTGCTCCTCCAAGCTGGGTGAATATTGTTTTTTCTTTTGCCTCTCCATTGACTCAGTTTGGTGGGTGAGAAGCATGCTCAGAGAGACAGGTTGCAGTGCCCGATGATTTACAACCTGATCTCAGCATATGTGTCCTCCATGCCAAAACCTCTGTACTTTTTAAAGTGATGCATGCCTATACAGGTGTGATCTGTGCTTTAAACAGACAGTCATGCTAGTGTGGTCCTTTGTGACTCAAGGCAGTGTTATCGATAACTGTAGTCTGACACCAGTTGTCAGCCTAATTGTCCAAAATGTTTGGTGATAAAGGCTCACTGCTGGGAAAACCCGACATCTGTGTGGAGCTTCATTGAAAGCCATTGCTGCTTGGTCATCAATCAGTCCACCCCCCTAGAGCCCTTGCAGGACCTGTTTCCACATGGTGAGGCTCTGATGCTGGCTGGGCAAAGTGGCAGGTAGTCTAGCCATGGAGCAAAGCCTGGGATTGTCAGGTGACCCCAGTAACTAGACCCACCAGAATTCAGAATGCACACCTGAAACTTGACTGTTGAGTGCCCTGAAAGTTATGTAGGTAAGGGCATACCACAGCAAGAGGGGGGAACCCCAAGAGTGGGGCAGGGCTCTGATGCTGGCTGTGCAAAGTGGCAGGCAGTGTAACTGTAGGACAAAGCCTGGGATTGCCAGGTGACCCCGTAGGCAGACCCATCAGAAGTCAGGGTACATACCCAAAACTTGACTGTTGAATGTCCCCAAAGGTGAGGGCATTCCACAGCAAGAGGGGGAACCCCAGGAGCTGGGTAGGGCTCTGATACTAGCTCTGCAAAGCGTAGCTGTGGAGCAAAGCCTGGAATTCCTACCTGACCCCAGTAGTCAGTCCTGTCACTGTTGCAAGTTTTTGACACCAGACAGAGCAGTTCACCTTGGGTCATGGGGTCAGTCTGGGTCGATCTAGGGCATGAGAATTTCCTTTTGTGTTCTGGTGGAGATGTTAACATTGAAAAGAACTCCAGAAAGTAGCTTGAATTCACGGATCAGGGATACAAGTATTGTGTTCAGTGCACATTTAATTTTAATACTGAAGGCATGACCTGTAAAAAGGGGTTGGTGGTTGGGAGAGCTTGCAAAACTTGGAGTGGGATTTTGATCTTGGGTTCTAGCCAAGGCCTTAGGGTGACCTGCACAAGGGAAGTTTGTGTCAAACTGTAGAACTCATTGTGGCTGATCTGGAAAAGTGTTGAAAATGAGTACAGCAATCAGTACATTGATTGAAAATACACAGAGACTTATAAGACTAAAACTTTACTGCAAATATAAATGAGTAACAAAAGCACAAAAATGGTAAAAAGTGAATAACTTGAAAACTTCTGAATACCTAGTCCCATATCCCCAAACTGTAAAGCAATAAATAACATGAAAGATTATGTCACTTCATTTGCATCTCTCCTCCCAAAAATGTTTCAAACTGTCTCTTCCAAAGAGCCGTGGGAACTTTCTTGAACAACTGAGGTGCATGCTGCAGTGAAAGAAAGATGATCAGAGGGGTCACTCCTTAACACCAAACTCTTTCCTCACCTCCCAGTACAGCAGATTTCACAAGGGAGACCCATGGCCTTGTGCTGGGGACTGGGTGGATGCATCTGCTGTTGTCAAGTGAGGAACAGCTGGGAGGGCAATGAGACAGACAGAGACATTACCCTTACACATTCAAATGTACCTTAACCAATACTTTAATGGTTTCCCCCATTACCTTGCCCCCAAGCACACCAGCAACAGCAAGTTTACCAATGTCTTCAGTCCTGCCTCTGGATCCTTGTCCTGATGCTGCGGGGTCCAGACAGCTGTGAACCACACAGAAGATTTGAACAGTAAAATAAACTTTATTGGAATACAAATGATACTTCAAGAAGGATAATGATTAAAGTAATTACAACCTTTAAAAATATAAGAAATAATGACTAACTGCAAGTCAGAAGACAGAATATATTGCTTACAATAAGCATATCAATTTATGAGAGAGATAAAAAAAAAAAAAGAGTGTATTAAATTTACAATTTAGTAAAATATATTAAAAGTAGACAACTTTAGCTATTACACACCAATACCCCCTGCTATAATTTAGTACTACGAGGTCAAGGGCGTAGAATTGTTATGAGGCACACTCTAGTGTATGTTTGCAATTATGAATTTTTGGGCATGTCACGCATAAAAAGAGTTACAGGAAACATCATATCACATTGAGGGAGATAGAATGACATGAAAACCAGATTAATTGAAACAAACCCACTCATGTGTGCAAGCCCCCTAGGAAAAATTGGAGATGATTGAGACAGGTAAAGATATACTTGGGCTAGCTTTAATCTGTCCAGGTATCAACAGGAGTGTAGCTACAGTACTGACTGTGCAACGAATGAAAGAAGGCATGAAAAAGAGAGATGTTTAGTAAAGGCCTTGTTGCATGATAATTCCAGATTGCTCCTGGAGCTCTTAACCCCTGGATTGTCTGCACATTAACACCTGAAACTGGTTTTAAACAGTTATTATGCAGCTCAAATATACACCACTCCAGGGCAGGATGATCTCTGTTCTGTGCTACCCAGCTCCTGTTGCCCTAAGGTGCAGCCATTCTAGGCTACACCTTAATCCAAACACCCCATGTGCCCCCTTTCCCTGCTGTCCCAGATTGGGCCCACTGCCCCCTCCCCCAGCACCCCAGATCCCTGCTTACTGTCACCATGCCCCCTGCTTACTTGTGGCTGCCTACACTGTCTGTCCTGGGGGCAGACTGGAGGCAGGGGGGAGTGCTAGGAGTGGGGGAAACTGGAAGAGCCCCAGGAGGCAGGGGCCAAGGAGGAAGCCCAGAAAGGGAGGTGGGTATGTTGCCCTGTGGGGTCAGGCCAGCTCTCAGGATCCCAATATTGCGCTGTTAGACAGAAGGGTGTGGCACAATTGCACATATACAAAATACACAAATCCGTTAGATGCATACACATGCACACTACCAGCTCAGGCACATACACATCCAAACCAGCCTAGGCACATGCATACCTAGCACCAATTCAAGTACATATACTATACACCCCAAAAATCAATTGTCCATACCCACACACTCAGTACACATACACAGATTACTAATTCATATATCATACACACAATTCCATATATTTACACACACACACACACACACACTCACCAGCTCTCACATATACAACCCACCTACAGATAGATAAGTTCCTAACTTGGATGGCACGGTATGTATGTGTGTGCTTGGGGTACCTGGGATACTTGGGGGAAGGTTAAGGTAAGAGAAAGAGAGTTGAAGTGTAGGGAGTGAAAGTTGCCAGAACCAGGATTAGAACTGGTGGACTAGAGAGAAAAGCTGGCTGAAGAACTGAGGCTTGAGGTTACTTAAGGCAGATTGGGGCTGGAAACTGAGGCAGACAGCTGAGATATTGGCGGGGGAGATAAGTGGTGGCAAGGAGGAAACAGTCAGGAAACAGACAGAAACCCAACTTGGGGTTTCAAAATTACAGGTTTATTAGACAGTGTCACGGTGGGGTCCTACAGGAGGGCTGTGATCTCCTTAAGGCCCCTTCTCTCCGTGCCAAGTCGGCCCAAGGGCACCCTCTAATTCTCGCCCGCCATGTCTTTGTTGTTCAAATAAGTTTGGGAGGCTGCCTTACGTCTTCTTGGACACGGTTCGTTGTGACTTCTGTCCCTGTGGACTCCTGGGCCCCTCATGGGTCCCACTGTATGATGGGTAATTCCTGGGCACCCTAGCCTTATGGGCTATGCGTGGCTCCAGCAACCCCTTATACCACGCCCCAAGCCTCACAGTTGGAATAGACATTTGTCTGTCATATATACACTTGCCCTCTCTGGGGCCTTCTCTGTACTGTTGCCCTCTCTCTGGGGCCTTCTCTGCACTGCTGCCCCCTTCTCTGGGGCTCACCACGCCCACACTAGGGCTTCTCAATAGTGCCCCTCCTAGGGCTGGGGTCTATGCACCCCATATGCCGCACCCTTACTGGCACTGGGGTCCCCACACTACTGTGGGTCCCCTATAAGGCCTCCTCCAACCCCTTATAGCTTCACCCAAACCACCAGTGATACAACAACAAAGCAACACACAAGCCCCTAGGCTACAACATAACTTAAAGCTGCCCGGCTAAATCACATGGCTCAGAGATCCTAGAGCTGCCATCCTTTACCCGGCTTGAGCTGTACCTGCAGTCAGGCTTTTCCTCACATCATTGCTCCAGGCCTTTCTCCTCTGTTGACTGGCACGGGACTGCCCTAGCCTCAGCTCCTGGGCTTTATAAGAGCCAGGCCTTGCCCCTTACAGCCAGCTGACCGCTGGCAGGTGTGGGTCATTTGCTGCCTCCAGTTGCCTTGGCAACCCACAGGTGGGCTCCTTATTCCCTGCTAGGGATTTTTCTCTAGCAGTTTCTCCTCTTTAGAAGCAGAGCACCTCGGTGCTCTGCAACAAACAGACAACACACTACACAGCCCCATGAAGTTATTGGTTCCCCCCCCCCCCCCCACCACAAACAAAACA